CCTCGAAGACAATTTCTCACTCTTGCCAAACCTCATTAAACCCCACCTAGGTGAGATCTTGAGAAACACGTGATCACCCACATCAAAGGATAAGGGTTGTCTCCTCTTATCGATGTAACTCTTCTGTCGGCTTTGGACCGTAGCTAGTCTCTTCCAAATGAGAGCAACTTTCTTGGTAGTCTCCCTAACAATCTCCAATCCCAACAACGGCGCATCCCCTACTTCGGCCCAACAAACCGGTGACCTACAAGGTCGGCCATACAAGGCCTCAAACGGTGCCATCTCTATGCTTGCTTGATAACTATTATTGTAAGCGAACTCAACCAACGGTAAGTGCCTCTCCTAAGACCCCTTGAAATCTAGGATGTAAGCTCTAAGCATATCTTCCAAAATCTGTATAGTACGTTCCGATTGCCAATCGATTTGCGGGTGGTAAGCGGTGCTAAAGGTCAACTTGGTTCCCAATGCCTCTTGAATCTCGTAAACACTAGAATAATTGACACTCACTTTTCAAAGACCCCCACACACACACACAAAAAAAGATTTTTTTGAAATGATATTTTAACTAGATAATGTTTTTTACTAATTTATAATACTTATAAGCTTATTTTCATTTTTGTAATCCTCTCGATGATTCGATATGCTAGAATTAAATATTTTAAGGACTAAAAAGATTCAATCGATAATTTAAGGATTAAATAAACTTTGATTTATATGCTTTAGGATTTAATAGACTCAATTGATAGTTCAGTAACTAAGTAGATAATTTGACGATAATTTAATAGTAGAAAATGTAATATATCCATTCAAAATTAGATAAGTAGTATACTAATAAGCTTATTTCTTGTCTACAACAAAACTTGTTCAACAATCACATTTTGTATGAAAAACAAAATATTACTACCATCATTCTTTACTTGAATGTAAATATTTTGTATCCAGTAAAAAACATAATTAGCAATCACGCTTTGCTAACTATGTTTTATTGTAGTTAAGAATAAAATTTGTCCGTACATTATAATTAATTTTGAATTAGAAAAACGTAAAAATGTTAAAAGGCCAGAATTGTATGATGATTTTACTATCAAATTTTTGCTTCAAATTTGAATAAGATCTGATAGCATACAAATCAAGTATGGTTTTTTTCTTTTTTAAAAAAAAATATAAAAATATAAAAAAGAAGAAGAAGACTGCAAGCATGTCTTTGTCAATTCACAATAAATTTCTCTGTTGAGAAGTCAATTCTGTTGGGTTTTAAGTTTTTAAAAACAAATTTTCAATTTTCAAACTTTTTTTCAGTGAATTGTTTTTGTATTTTAGTCAATTTTTTAAATTTTAAAAAAATGCACGTAATTTAGATGTACTTAAAAAATAAAATATTTATAAAGAAATTATTACAAAAATATAAAATTGAAGTTTTTTTTGTGTATATTTTTTAGTATTTAAAATTTCACAAAATTTGTATTTTTTAAGTATATCTAACTTAAGTGAATCTAAAAAATTTATTAAAAAATATTAAAATATTAAAAAATTCAGTAAAAAAAATACGTTCAAAGCTCAAAAACTGTTTATGAAAACTCAAAACAGAATAGTCTTGAATATGCCTCAAAAACATAACAAAATATATAAATAAACCGAAAAAAAAAATAAAAAATCAGTGGGGAACCATAAAATGCACTACAAAAAATAAGGTTTTAGAGACTAAAATTTAGGAATAAAATTATTTTTAGGTACCAAATATTTTTATTGTGAAAAGTGTCGTCATTATATTTTTAACAACAAAAATTAGACATTAGTAATGAATTATTAACTTTTTAAGACCAAATTTTTGTCTCAAAAAATAAATCTTTTTAAGAGCAAATTATTTTGTTCCTAAAAGTATATTTATTAGTATATTTTCAAAATTTTGTCACTAAAAGCCTTATTTTTTACTTTTCGATATGATCTTTTAAGCAACTATCATCGCGACAATAAAAATTGATAGCTAAATATCTTTTGTAATAAAATTTTCATTTTTAAAAATTAAAATTTTTAATTTTTAAAACTCTCATATATTGTAGTGAGGGGACAACAGAAATAGCAGATAAGTAGAAATCAAAAACCATTTGAAGAAAATAAATATCTGCTTTGGGCAGACGCCTAATTGTCCTCAAGTAGGGAACGCGACGAGGGCCAATATTATGTTTGTACATATAGTTCAACCCTTTTCTCATTTTATAGTGCTTCTTCTGTCCTAAAATAATGGTTCTTTTTGAGAAATTTAATTTTTTTTTGATAATATAATTATTGCACTTTAAAAAAATTAATTTTTCAAAATTATCCTTTTAATAGTATATTTTTTGAGAATATCATTGTCATAATTGTACTTTTTATATTGTTTATTAATTTAAAAGAAGGGTAAAATAGGAAATTTATATTATTTTTATACTTGATTTTTGAAGAAAGACTAATATTTTGGAACAATAAAGAATAGAATAAGAGATTAATATTTTGAAACGGAAGAAATATCTTTGTTGGCTGGTTTCCATTGCTACTTCCCTCTGTAATTCTGCTTTAGATAGTTGTACCTTTGAGAATAACTGTCAAAGTACTCTTAAGTACAAAAATCCAATGACCCAAATAATCCAAATCCATTCTCTGATGGATCAGTATCATTGTAATTTCTGCCACAATTTTAAGAATTGATTTTTTCAGTAATTTTTTAATTTTTTATAAAAAAAAAACGTATAACAAAATATAAAAATAATAATAATTTGACAATTTGTCATGAATTTTTGACTCTAGGCTTCCAGTTTGTGACAAGATTCAACTAGGCAAAAAAATTGCATCCACATGTGAACTCAAAAGGTATGATGTTTTCAATTTAAAATTTAATTCTAAGTCTTAGTGCTTTATAATAAAAAAATAAAAAAATGTGTAGTTAATCAAGAAACTGAAACAATTCACTATAAGAAAAAAAAAAAAAAAATTTGTTTTTTGCATCAGAATACAGAACTCCGAAGTGAGAGAAAATCGAACATTTGACCTCCCTAGTAAGGTGGAAAGGCTCTGGACTGTGATCCACTAGAATGCCTTGTATGATAAGCAATGCATAGAATCCATTTCTTTAAACAGGTAATTGAGCAACAAAATAATGAAATCGAGATTAGCTTGTAACCCGGTGGTCGGGTAGTCAAAACGTTTCGAGCCTCATTCCCCCTCCCATTAGATACAAAAGAATATTTGATGTTGTCTTGACGTACCCAAAAAAACAAAATAATGAAATCAAATTAATCAATGTAATTGGCTACTGATATCAGTTGTTACTGCTTGATGATGCACATGCTTCTGCACAAGCTGGACCAAATAGGGCAGAATCAACTTGCCCTCAACTTTTTTGATAAGGTCTGTAGAATACACAAAATAAATAATAATTCAAATGAAACCAATGGGAGGAGAGTCTAGAGACTTATTATATGCATGTATGATTGTAAGAGGAGTTAATTTAAATCCATTAAATTAATTAAGCCCAATCGAAACCCAATCGAAACCTCAAAAAATTGGTGAGCTTGGAGAGATTATTGCCTAATAGGTCCAAGTGAATTCTATTAAACGGGCCGATAAGAAAGCCAACAACTTGGGCCGAGGAAGACCCATCAAGCAGATATATCTAAAGAGAGTCCAACAAGCCCATCCAAGGAGGCCCAATTCATACGGGTATCCGAGGAAGTTAACCGCTACTTTCAGAAGAGATGAAACCCTCGGAGAAGATCCATTCTCCGAGGTATTAGTTTAGTCTTGAAATGGTTTGGAACCACAAACCTAGAGACCTATTTCAGCTCGGACTAAAAAAGGTTCGAATCCACGAACTTAAAGATCCGAAGCACTTGACCTCAAACGTATTCGAACGCAACCTAGAAGTCGCTCCGTTAATGAGTCCCAAAACACTTGCGGCTTGGAGCTTTTCGGAATCTATGCACCAGAACCATAGGCGTAACAAAGTCCGAACAAAGGACCTGATCCCGATAACAGTGAATGAAGATAAATTCACTCTTTGGTTAAACTGACCTATACCCGGGTCGAGGTGGCACAATGTAGGGGATCCTTGAAACTCATCAATATTTGCGGCAAGACGTTCTCTTGAACTACCTCTGACCCTTCTGCGACAAGGCTTCCTTTGGGACTACCCCTAACCCTTTGGGATGATTGAGGATCATTGGTTAGGTGTGGCTAAGAAGAAGGGTTTGCCGAGAGGTTGATCTCCTCTCCGGGATTTTCCTCATCATCAGAGAGGTCACCTCTTCGGATAAGGTAGTTAGAGAGAATATTCCCCATGTGCTTTGCACATGGACTCCATCCTACATCATGAGGTGCCTACCCATCCATAGCTTTACAAGGGATGGATTTTAGAGAGACATTTTTTGGAGAAGAACTAATTTCCCTTCTCCATTATATATCTACCTTGAGAGTGAAAGTGAGAGATCCATGAGAGAGTTTTGTCATTATTCTCTCTCTAACTACTTTACTTTCTTCTTCACCTAATCTCTTATCTCCATCATCTCTTTGTTATTGTATTTCTAGTTACGACCATTGAAGAATCTAGGGCTCTCATCATTTCGAGAGAATTCAAGTTTTTTTCAAAAATCTTCGAAGATCTTTGTATTTTTAGACCACATTCTTGAGTCCTCTCATACATTTGACCAAGCACAAATGTTTAGACAAGAACTATAGTTCAAAACAAACATTGGCTTAATGTAAGGCTTGTCAAATATTGCAACTACATAGTGACAATATTGAATAATTCACCCGTAAAATTCTTTTTAAAAAAAATTCCAGCTATACACAATCAAAACATGTGATACAAATGTTGATAGACATTAGTTAGGAAGCATTAGTGTCATCTTTCGACAGAAATCACCGTGGCATCTATTAATAGTCCCTGGGTAACCAACAAAAACACGAGCAGCAGAGTTATTCGTTGAGATCTTGGAATTCAGCGAAAAATTACAATAAAATGAAAGTAGTTTCAAGGTTCACCTGGATTGTGTCATAAAACATTATAGACTAAACCAAGCTCTCAATTTTACAAAGACTAATAAGTTTCTGGAAAAAAACAGAAGTAAAAATTTATTTCTTCAATTTGGAATCACAAGTCATCTTAGAGAGTGAGAGAATTTACTTGTATAATATCTAACCTATGAGCGATGAAAGTATATTATTATCTTAACAAATTTAGTACATAAATCTTCTTTGTTTCCTTCTAAATACATGTGAGGAAAATTGCTGATAACACTATCATAGTTACTGCTTGAAGTTTCCTCGAAGAATTTGCCGGAACATTGGGTCCTATCACATGAAATTTTGAATCAATACAAAATAAGATTTGGCATGTACAATTGCACGATTCATATATTTCTATACATTTTTCATATTTTAATATAATTTTTACACATATATATACCAAACTTAACAGATCTATATGGTGTTTTAGAAAAATGGTAAAAAGTTGATTTTTCTACTTTTTTTGCTTTTTGTGTAAAAAAGTAGAGATGTATTGTGACTCAAAAAAGCTATATAAAAAAATAAAAATAAAAAGCTAAAAAGTCAACCTTTCCAAATTGCCCCTATATTAAGCCACTAGTAGCATTTTTCATCACAAGGATTGTAATTTTACAAAAACAAATAAATGATCCACACTCATAAAAATCAATCAAAGAAAAGTGCATAAAATACTCAAAGGGATTTTAATCCCATATTGTAAGTATTTAGAAGAAAATTTATCATTTTAACCTTCTAAAAAATATATATTTTACTTTTGCCCTCCCAAACTTCATAAAAACCTTACAAACCTATACAAGTTTGAGAAGAAAATTACATTTTAACCAACTCCAAATCTATGTATATTTTACTTTGGCGCCCCAAAAATTAATAATTTTATCTTAACCCCTCGTGCGTATAATTTTCTGAGTTTGCCACTACCTAAGTTTTTTTATAATCATAATGCAGTTGTAGATACCCAATCAAGTTACCATTTCCAGGTGAGCCTGAATTACTAGGTGGTGGTGGTGGTGGTGATCGACTTGCGCCGAACCTGGTATTGCAATCTGCTCCAAAGTAGCCTAAGAAAAAAAAAACAACAATACGTTTAGAGCATGTTAATCATATATAATTAGATGAACTGTTAATTTTCCATCTCCTTGTTTATTCATACTACTAAAATTGTCAAAATCATGAATCATTAAAGTTCTTTGATCAAAGTTGAAAATTTGTGCAACCACTAATTATGTATCCAATCCATCTTAGGGTTTGTCCCTCTTATGAATTATCCCAATCCCATCCATGTTATTGAAAATGATAAATTTAGTGACACAATAGTGGTTTGATAAATCATTAAAGATGAGAAAATGTTAAACATCCCCATCTTGAGATGGACACAATCCTAACTCTAATGATAGACATGCTGCCCAACCTCTACTTGAAAATATTATTTAGGACAAATTATATCAGTTGTTCTTATATTTTAACTATTGTGTCATTTTGTTCTTTATAATTTCAATTGACCCGATTTTGATCTTAAATTTTTAATTTTGTCTCAATTTAGTCAAATTGATTACAATTAAATACAACATATAAGAGTTTTAGAGGTCAAGTTTTTTTGTCTCTAAAGTATAAATTTTGTTGCAAAAAATATTTAGGGACTAATTTCAGTTATCACGAGGACAATCGCTAAAAGATCATCCTGAAAAAGTCCAAAAAAATGAGTTTTTATGGATAAAATTTTGAAAATGTTGCTAATAAATGCATTTTTATGGACAAAATACCTTGGTCCCAAAAAAGTTTATTTTTTGAGACTAAACTTTTGGTCCCAAAAAGTTTGTAATTCATCACTAAATGTCCAATTTAAAATAAAATAATAACACTTTTGGCGACAAAAACATTATCCCTAAAATGTAATTTTGTCTCTGAAATCTTAATTTCTTATAGTGATTATTAGTATTCTTTGATAAAAATGCACGCAGAAGTGACATATGTTATGTTTTTATAGGCAAAACTGTAAACTTATTTAACTTAGTGAGTTAATCTCAACAAACTCATGGATTATTTTTTTTCAAAAATCTTAGTCGGCATTATCAATTTAATCAAATTGATACAAAATCTAAAATTAAATTTCAAAATCAAGTTAATTAAAATTATAAAAATTAACATGACATAAAAAATAAAATGCAGAGACTACCGATACAAGTTACCCTATTATCGACTATGGCTCAACCCAACAATCAGTCTTTATGGGTTTGTCTCTTTGGTTCCAAATCTTAAAGGCGCCTCTGTGTTGAGGATCCTAACTCTGAAGATACTAACTCTGCAGAGTTACTTACTCAGCTCACAGATCATCACAGATTAGTTTTCAGTTCAACAGATCAAGACAGCTCAAAGAGGTCATGAAGCTAGCTAAGGTCTCATTGCATCATTCCTGTGATGCAGCTATATCTGATCATGTGCTTCAGTTAGTTAGATAGTTTGTTAGATGGTTAGTTAGTTAAGAGTTAGTTATCTTCTTCTTGTATATATAGAGAAAGAGCTACTGGAAATTTGTATTGATTAAAAAATAGATTGAGTTGAATAATAAATCAAGAAATACTGGTTCTGTGTTTTTCTTCACTCTGAAATAGAAGTATCTGATGTTGTCCTATAACTTCATTTTAAACATCGTGAGCATCAAATGCAAACATAAGTTATGGATGAATGTGTAGTGTAGCTTTGCTGAAATGCATTTACAATTAAGATATAAAATTAAAATTAAAAGAAAAAGAAAAAAACTTACATTGTTGGAAACAAGCAAATTCTGGGTTATCTAACAAATTTGATGAGCCATCAAAACATTGGCAATAGTGTCCAGTCCCGTTGACTACACATTTTCCATCACCACACCAAATAAGGTTGCAAGCTGTGGAATAAAGTTGTTACTAGCTTTAGTAACTCCATATAATTTTCTCATAATATTGAGCAAAAATTATTGAAAATATGCCTATGGTTGATAATACTTACGGCTTGAAGCATTGAACGTAAATGGTGGTGGTGGTGGTGGGGGTGGCGGCGGAAGCATTGAACGTAAATGGTGGTGGTGGTGGTGGGGGTGGCGGCGGAGCACCGTTCCCACATTGAAAATCAAGTGTGCCTGCAAATTGATCAATACTGAAAATAATCAACTTTGTTTTGCTCCAATGAAATTTTTTTCATCAATTTCCCCCCTTTTTTAATTATTTTTGTAGTTGTAATATGTCTTACAAGATTCCTATGCGCTAATTGATTTTGATTTTTAATTGAGGCCTTCACTATATTTTGAGGTTATGATCATCATATGCTATGCAATGAATTCATTGTGTATATAGAAATGAAAGTTGCTAAAAAAAATATGTATGGATTCAATCATAGATGAATTATGTGATAAAAAAATTAAAAAAAAGAAGGGCAACTTGCACTAATAGTCCCTATATTTTACTTCATGTGTCACTTTGGTCCCTATATTTTCAATTTGTTCAATTTTAACCTTTTAATTTTAATTTCATTTCATTTTGGTTCAATCAATAACCTCTGTTAAAAAATTTAACAAAAAATAGTCATGTGCACAACATGTGATCAACTTTGAGGGGCAAAACAGACATTTCATTCCTAACCCTTCCCTATTCCATCTCTGCAACACCTTCCCCCCCTCCCGGGATGAATTATGTGATAAAAAGAGAAGAAGGGGAAATTACACTAATAGTCCTTGTATTTTACCTCCTGTGTCACTTTGGTCCCTGTATTTTCAATTTGTTCAATTTTAACCTTTTATTTTTAATTTCGTTTCATTTTGATCCAATCAATAACCTCTGTTAAAAAATTTAACAGAAAATAGTCATGTTCACAACATGTGATCAACTTTGAGGGGCAAAACAAACATTTCATTCCTAAACCTTCCCTATTCCATCTCTGCAACACCTTTCCTCCCCCCTCCACTATCTATCATCAATCTCACTCACCACCGCCACTGCTAAACAACACCACCACCACCACCACCATCATCATCTGCCACCAAACAACACCACCAATCACAAATCAAAATCAAAGTGAAAATCAAAATAAAAATAGAGTTTTGTTGTTCGACGTTGTTGATTTCGATGTTTTTTTCATTCGTCGTTGGACGATCGCAATCGCAATCTACAGAGCTCGCACAGTGTGAGTTTCTCCATTACTAGATTTGTGCACCTTCTCCTTCATCATCGCAATCGCGATTGTGATCTTCAAAACTCACATTCTTCTATCCCAACCCCAACACCACCTATTTTCCTCTTCTAGTCTAGCCATGTCAGTTACCCACATCATTTTTCTCTCTCAGCCTCTCTCTCTCTCTTTCTCTCCATCCCCTAGCCTTCCGCCATCTTGTTTCCATAATCTCCATTAGCAACCTTTCGCCTCATTCCCTCTCTCTTACCAATAGCGATGACCCTATCATCCCCCCTCACTCTAGTCATGATCTCCCTTCTTCTTCTATCAACGCAATCGTGGTCCCTCTTCCCCAGCCTTTCACTACCTCCTCCTTCTCTTTTCTCCAATAGCGGCGGTGACACCCAGTCTCTTACCTTAACTTAGTCGCAACCCCCTTTCAACGTAGTCACGATCACTTCCTCTATTCTTTATGCTTCTGCAGCCTCCTTCTTCCATCCCCAGCAAGCTCTCTACTTCCTTCCTCAACAGCAGCAGCGATGACGACAACCCTCATGCATCTCTTCCTTCTCTCTCTTCCTCTAGTCAAACAAGTAGACTAAAGGAGATAAAACAAAAATTAAGAGCCGAACGAGGACAGTCTATTCAACATATTGCAAATGTTTTTCTTCTCTTATTTCTTCTTTTCTCTTTGGTTGATTTTTTTATTTGATTTTGTATGATTTGATGTTTTATTTGGTTGAATTATTATTCGACTTGGAGGAATTGGTGGTCTGTCACTTTGTTACTGTTATTGTTCTCTCATCTCTTTCTGTTATTCTTTTGATTATCACTTGTTTGTTTGGTGATGGTTGGATGATAGGGGAAGATAAAGAAGGTTGGATGGAGGTCATAGATATTGCGAGTATGTGCAAAAGACAGGGTGGTGAGTATGGTAGTCTGGGTGGCAAACGGTATTGGGTTTCGTGTGGTGGGGGTAGATGGTATTGATGTTGGGATTGGCTATGGATGATGGTGGAGGAAGGCAACGGTGGTAGATGATTGTGTTGTAGAGAGTCCGAGAGAAAGAAGATGGCGAAACAAGGAAAGGGTAGTGAAATGTCCATATTGCCCTTAAAAAAGGGTCATATGCGTCTCACATGTTTGTTTTCCGTCAACAATTTTAACCGGTGTTATCAATTGGACTAAAATGATACAAAAATTAAAAATTAAGGGTCAAAATCAAGCAAATTGAAAACACAAGGATCAAAGTGACACAAGAGGTAAAGTGCAAGGATTGTTAGTGTAATTTGCTTAAAAACAATGTTGAGATGACTAAGTGCATATGTACTCAACTTGTTTAGTTTGAGTTTTCTGAATCACTTTTCAAAAAATTAAATTTTTTTATTTTTTATTTTATTTTTACTGAATTTTTTTTAATATTTTAAGCAATTTTTTTAATTTTTAGATAACCTAACATAAATACACTTAAAAGGTATAACATTTGTGAAAAAAAATCTGTACAAAATTCACTAAATACCAAAAACACAATATACATATATATATATACATATACAAATTCAATACATTTTTCGTATTTTTGTATATTTGTTGATTTTTTAAAATATTTTTTTATAAATATTTTGCTTTTTATATACATCTAAGGAATGTGCATCTAAAAAAGTTTTAAAAAAAAATACTTAAAATTTTAAAAATATTCACTAAAAATAAAAAAATACGAAAAATAAAAAATTTAATTTTCAAAAAATTAAATTGAAAAAATTGAAACCAAATACATTCATTTTGTTTTGCTATAAGTGTATTTGTTTATACTGAACTTTTTTTTGCCTAATATACTTTAATGCGTTGCGCAAAGCCTGTAAAATATAAATATGTTCCATAGTTCGTTTAAATTTATGTACACAATATTTGGCATCCCTTAAAATAAAATGGGTCGTGCTTCAGACCCCCAGTGACGTAGCGCCGCCCCATTCGCTGAAACAAAAAAAAAAAAAAAAAATTTTTTTTTTGGCCAATCACCTTCCTACACGCACGACCCCAGTGACCCCCACTGGGGGTCTTAGGCTTTTTTCAAATAAAATTTTGATCCTTTTCTAGCTGGAGATGAGCATAAATGTCATTTCCATTACAAAAGAAACATTTTGAAGGCCAAATTATGGAAGATTCTATTTTCATACACGAATTCCCCGCACTCTACTCTACCCACTTAATGAAATTTTTTTAATTATATTTTTATGGGAAAATTACCAATAGGTCCTACTTGTGAGACTTATTACCCATTAAGTCCTATTGATAAATTTATCAATCTCATGTTTTTATGAATAGATTTATAGTCATAAATTTATCAGTCTCTTTGTTTTTATGAATAAATTTATAGTGATAAATTTATCAGTCTCTTGTTTTTATAGTGATAAATTTATCAGTTAAGACATGTAGGTAAATAAGTTTAGTTAATAGAACTAATTGGTAAGTGCCCCTTTTTATCCTAAAATGAAACTACCCAAAATACTCTTTATCTTCCATATCCAAGACACTAATTTTCAAACCACCCGAAAATTTCTAAAACCCTAACTAATCACCGTACTACCTCCAGCCTCCTACCTTGACCACACCTCAACCACTCTCCAACATCTCCGTCACCTCATGATGGCCCATCCCTACAGCTCTTATCGTTGCAATATCTGTCATCACGATCACAAGAGAGAGGTCACAATAGTGGTACCGATGAGTGGAGATAGTAGCAGTTGACACTAGAGAGAAGCTAGGCGACGGCGATAAAGGATGAAAAAGTAGGGTCTGCTAGTTGTAGATAGCGACCGAGGAAGGTGACCGAAAGTAAAGGGGATTGGAAAAATGACGACTGTGAGGGGAGAAGGTAGTGTTGGCATCAGCACTACCTCTGATGGTGGAGGTGGCGACAGTGGCTAGGGTTAGAAATTAGGGTTAGTGTTGAAATGATGAAAAAAAGGATATTTCTGGTATAATGGATTGTGTACTGAGTAAAATATTTTTTTTCAAATTCATTAAGTGTATGAACTGAGATATGATATGCATAGAGATAAAAGGGTGTGTAGAAATAGAATTTCTCCCAAATTATACTAGTAGTTCTTACATTTTAACCTTTGTATCCTTATAATTTTAAAGGTAAATTGCAAATACACCCCCTGAGGTTTGATTAAAATACAAATCGCCCCCTGTGGTTCTAGAAATTACATTCCACCCCCTGAGGTTTCTAATTTCATAACAAATCGCCTCTTTTATTAAAAAATCATCAAGTCAATTAACAATTTTTAATGATGTTATAAATATGTTTCAATTAATAATTTAGGTAATTTTATTATTATATAGAAGAACAATTATGAATTTTTTTTTTTTAGTTAATACTGTTAAATAAAAAATTTTAACAATGGGCTATTTGTAATTTTTCAAACTAGAGAGAGCAATTTGTACTTTAAGCAAATCTCAATGGATGTATTTGTAATTTATCCTAATTTTAATTGGCCCAATTTTGATCTTTATTTTTTTTTTACTATCTTAATTTAGGCTCCATTTGAGAACTTGACTATTTTAGTTGACTTTTTAGGTATTTGGCTATTTTGTCCTATCTTAATTTAGGCTCCATTTGAGAACTTGACTATTTTAGTTGACTTTTTAGGTATTTGGCTATTTTGTCCTGACTAAAAAAATTGTATTTGGAAATATAGTTGGCTTTTTTTTCTTTAGTTAATTTGATAGTTGTGAGAGAAAAAATGAAATGATTATGATTTTGATGTGACATTTTATCTTATTAATTATTTTAACCTATTTTATCTTTATTAGCTATTTACCCAAAAAAAAAAAAAAAAAAAACATATCCCAAGCAAGGCCTTGGTCCAATTGATTTCAATTATCAATATTATTTTATGGAAAATGCACAAATGAGCGGTATGTGTCATGCTTTCAGAGGCAAAATTGTAAGTTTCATCAGCTCAATGAGTTAATCTCAATCAATTTAGTGATCATTTTTGATAAATATATATATATATATATATAAATAATAAAAAAAGAAGACTAATGACATTGTCAATAGGAGCAAATTGACACAAAAACTAAAAGGCAAATTACATCGGTAGTCTCTACTCTATATTTTAGCTCTTGTGCCATTTTCATTTCTCTAATTTCAATTTATTCAATTTTGTCCCTAAACTTTTGAATTTGTCTCAATTTATTGGTTCAGTTGAACAAATTTGTTTGCATTTTTCTATGAAAAATGCGCTCGTAAATCTATTTTTAGGGGCAAATTTATAAACATGATCAACTCGATGAGTTTATCTCAACCAACTCAGTGATAATTTTCTGTTAAAATCCTAAAGACATTATCAATTGGACCAAAGTAACACAAAATCTAAAATTAATGGTTAAAAAGTGAGTCAATTGAAAATAAAGAAATCAAAATGACACAAGGAACAAAATGTAAGTACTACCAATGTAATTTATCCCATTTTTAACTACTAAATTAATAAAAGGTAAATTATAAATATATCACCTGAGATTTACTTAAAACATGGATTGCCCTTGTGATTTTAGAAATTATAAAATACCCTTTTATCAAAAAAAAATTTAAAAAGAATTAATAAAAAAATAAAATTTCTAACTACTCTCCAATACAATAATAAAATTATCTGAATTGTCAATTAAAATATATTTTTACATTTTTAAAAATAATTAATTGACTTAATTATTTATTAATAAAATGATCATTTGTTATGCAATTAAAAACTTAAAGAGACGGGATAACCACAGGAGCAATCCGTATTTTAAGAAAATCTTAAAAAGTGTATCTATAATTTACCCATTAATAAAATACCTTATTTTTGACAATTTTTCTTTTCTTTTCCTCTTCCTAAATTTTCTTCAACTATTTATATTATTAGTGGTTCAAGGTAAATTTTTTGGTTAATTCATAATTTGAATGGGCTGCTTTTTCTTCAAAGATGGAAGCAAACAAATAGCCGTAAATTACAAAGCTGAGTGAGTGAATATTTGGACTCCGTTATAAACAAAGGGACATTAAAAACTTATTCTAATTACATGATCGATTAACACAATGACCAAATAGTATATGTTTTACAATCTTGGTTTGACTCACATATGTTATGAAACAAAAGCCAAAGAACATTTGAGTGACCAAAATGACCTCTAAATTCTAGCCACATGTAAAAAGCATAATTAGCATTGTAAACTCAGCAGGTCTAAATAGTGTAACTCACATATTTTATGAAACAAAAGCCAAAGAAAATTTGAGTGACCAAAATGACCTCTAAATTCTAGCCACAACATGTAAAAAGCACGATTAGCATTGTAAACGCTACAGGTAGTAATGAATTTAACAACGTAACGGTATTTAAAAATATGTTCAAATTTTATTTGTGTGTCTTTCAAGTAAGCTTTAACAGTATCGATTACGTCTCAAGTTTGAGTAGCATATTGTCTTTCATATAGTTTTATAATGATTATGAGTTTATCAAGTCTAGCTCATAGTAATGAATTTAACAACGTAACGGAATTTTAAAATATGTTCAAATTTTATTTGTGTATCTTTCAAGTAAGCTTCAACAGAATCGATCACGTCTCAAGTTTGAGTAACATATTGTCTTTCATGTAGTTTTATAATGATTATGAGTTTATCAAGTCTAACTCATACAACTCACAAAATTATTAAGATTTAAAATGTATTTAATCTTGACTTATCTAAGTAATCAATCCATCTCAAACAAACTGAAAGCAAGTTGTGTTAGGAATCTATAACTAGGACAAGTGAAATACAGAACACAAAAATGAATAAGCGCACAAGAAAGACAAATGACACTCACATACAAATAACATAATATTTACATCATTCACTCCCAATTAAGATTACATGAATGATTATGATTGTGCCCACGGTGGCTGCAGTTCACAAATGCAAAAACAAAATAAAACTATTCACTTTGTTTGGTTTTGATTTTCAAAAAATAGTTTTCAGAAAATTTTTTCTTTTTATTTTCCGTATTTTAATGTTTTCAATGAATTTTTTTAATATTTTAAGCAATTTTTTTTAATTTTTAGACACACCTAACATAAATACACTTAAAAAGTATAATATTTGTGGAAAAAAATCTTTAAAAAATACACTAAATACCAAAAAATACAAATATATATATATATATGAAAATTCAGTACATTTTTCATATTTTTGTGTATTTATTAATTTTTAAAAATATTTTTTCATAAATATTTTACTATTTAGATACATCTAAGTAAAGTGTATTTAAAAAAGTAAAAAAAATTGCTTAAAATTTAAAAAATATTCACTAGAAATAAAAAAATACAAAAAAAAAATTCTATTTTCAAAAAACTAAATTCAAAAAACTGAAACCAAATATACTGACATATTCACACTACTCTACAAATTGAAATATATGAAAGAAGTTGCACACTACACATTCTATCATGAGATTCAAGACAGGTAGGTTCCCACCAAAAAAAAAAAAAAACAAATTGAAAAACAAAGTGCAGGACAATATTTAGTAAAGTCAGAGAGAGAGAGAGAGAGAGACTCACAGTTGGGAACAACACAAGAGGGGAAGGTCAAGGGACCTATTTGAATGGTCTTCCATCCAGGGTAACAATCACATTCAAATCCTAGAAGTGTAGCATTAGAAGGTACGCATGTTCCTTGGCCACAATTCACAATTGCACATAGAAGCCCTGTGAACCAAAAAAACATCATCTGTCACATATGATCATCATAATAACCAATCCTCAACCAAAACAAATCAAATCAAGTTACATATAAATGAGAAATTCTATGGTTTAATGTATATATATCTACCGTTTACTGGGTCTGGCAACAAGCTCTGGCCACTGGCTGTGAGATTAAAGATGAAGAGAGAGAAGAGAAGAAGATGGAGAGACATGCTGTTGAGATTAGTGTGCAAAAAATTGAAACTACCCATGTTTTTAGTTGCAACAAAGGAGTAGTGGCTGAGTGAAAACAGGCAAAGAGCATTTATAAGAAGTCTCATTACATTGGTAAAAAAAACTAATCTATTACTATTCTCTACATTTTTTAATATTCTATTTTTTGGGCTTTATTTTGAGTTCACAATAATTTAAACTGTTCATCGTGAAAATTATTTGAGAAAAAACTAATTTCATCGGATATGAATAGATGAACCAATCGTATTTTATTTTATAAAATTGTCTATTTAAATTTAAACCTATAATTACCTTTCATTTTCAAAAAACAAAATGTGATTTGTTTATGTGTCTTGTGATGTCTAATAAAATTGACTTTTTACACAACTCATGTGACTTATTATAGTCATTCCTTAAAAATAAAAATAAAAAAATCCACCCCTATGAGTTATAATTACATAAAGGGTCTGGCTTTGGTCCAGTCCACCATCGGACTGGACCGTGCTGTTGGGCTCGTGGGGGTTTATCACGGGTCCCGTTTTAAAATTTTGAACCGTTCAATGTGTAGAACTCGTCGAGTACTATATGCCTATGAAAAATCACATTAATCGAATATTGATAGTTATGTGATCAAATCAGTCTTGTATAAAAAAAAAAAAATGGACGGTGAATAAATTAACGGTTGATAAAAAACTATTTTGATCACATAGCTATCGATATCCGATCAACGTGATTTTTTACAAGCATATAGTACTCGACGAGTTCTACACATTGAACGGTTCAGATTTTCAAAACGGGACCCGTGGTAAACCCCCACGGGCCCAATAGCACGGTCCGGTCCGATGGTAGACTGGACCAAAACCAGGCCCTTACATAAATATTATTGTCACACCATTCACCATGTTTTTATGAAAGTTTTGTATGTTTACCATTTTTCTTTATTAACCAGTGGCTTTCTTTTTCTTCTTTTTTCTTTCTTTTCCAAAAGTTATTCTGTTTGCCTTTCTAGCCATACTGGCTTTGGACTAACCATTTAATTTTTTTTTATCTTTTGTTTATTATTGTTTTTTGTCTTATATTTGAACTTGTAGAAATGCCAATTTTTGTTTAAAATTCATGTCAAACTCACCCCTTACACTGTAAGTTTTCAAAGCTTTTAAATAATTTCATTGAGGCAAAAATTTAGTTCTTAGTTTTTACAAAGGAGAATAGTGTGCAATGAAAAATATAAAAAATAATTGCAAAACAATTAAATGTATGTGAGACATGTGACCAATGCAAGTGAAAATTGTGCATTTCATTGATGTGTAATTGTTTTTTTAATTTTCTATTTATTTGGTATAGTTATGTAAGATGTTAGTGAAGAAATCATCTCAGAATTGCATTTCCTATTTGGTATGTTATTTACCCAATCAATGTCTATCTACTCCAAACCCCCACTATGATTTCAATTTGCTTCATGCAATTTGGCATACAATTTCAGGAAGTGGGGCTTCTCTCATGTTCAGAATTTGAGAGGTTCATGAGACCTACTACTACTCTCATTTCAATAATTCAAATCGTTCATTTTAAAAAGATTTCAATATATATCATTCATAAAAAAAAAATTAGTTCGATTTGATGATGGAAACCTTTTACAGTATATCATATTTATCTTTAAAAAATAGATGATAAATATATTTTTGAAAATAAACTATTCATTTTTTAAAGATAAACACTATAAAATAAAAATGTTATAGTAATTGAATCAAACTAATTTTTGTCATAGATAATATATATTGAGAGTCTTATAAAATAAACCGTTTGAATCATCGAAATGAGACTGCAGTGAACTCCAACCCCTCAAATTCTTATGAAATGTGAATATGAACGAAATCCAACTCATTTCAATATACTGTTTTATATAATATTAATTATTAATTATTTTTGAATTCTATATATTCGTCCCCTTTAAATTTTAAAAATGAAGTTAAGTGGTCAAAGATATACATGGAATTCAAACTTCAAAATAAAGAATTTAAGAATTTTAACAAAATATAATTTTGTAAAAAAATGATTTCTCATCACAACTAGTATCAATAAATTATTTTACAATTATTATATTTTATAACTCAGTAAAAATATAGGAAAAAAAATATGTTTATTTATATAAATTTTTCATATTATTTTATCACGTTTGTTTTTGAAAAATAAATAACAAATATATTTTTAAAAATAAATTATTCATTTTTTTGGACACACTATAAAATTAAAATGTTATGATTATTGAATCAACCTAATTTTTTTCAATGATGATACGAAGAATCCTATAAAATAAATGATTCTAATCATCGAAGGGCTTGGGCAACACAGCCAAAAAATTGGAGGAAATGAAAAAAATAAAAATAAATTAAAAAATTAAAAAATTAAAAAATATTAAAAATTAAAAATTTAATAAAAAGAAAGTTGAAGTAATAAATGTGTACCACGTGTCAAAATATGGAGACAACAGGACAGGGGAGCAAGGAAAAAAGGTATGGCGGTGCAAGCAATGGTCGGACATGAAGATCCAACACCCAACACAATTGTGGTCTCGTCTCTGTCGATTTTTACCACACTAAAATATAAATAAATAAATAGAAAAATATTAAATATATGTTCCATATATATTTTATAATTTAAAAAATAATATAATTTTATTTTTTTAAAGTCATAATTAAAAAAAAAAATTATCATAACTAAAAGATATAATTAAAAATTTCATAAGTTATAACTAAAATAATGTCATAATTAAAGAAAAAAATGATATAATTATGGGTGTATATTGTACACCCCTTTCAAGGGTGTGTACATTAGAATTAAAGCAGGAGTTTTGACTTCTCTCAAGTTATCATCTCAACTTGAAAACGTTTGGACTTGGTAGACTTATTTTGAAACCGATTTAGTGATCCAAATTGTTCATTTTTTTAGACTCCTCTAGTAGAATACCAATGTAAAAAATCAAAACGATTAGATATCGGTAACTATATATTTGAATTATATATGTTTTAAAAAAAATAGACAACTAATATAATTTCAAGAATAACTATCTATTCTTTATAATATAAATTTAATTCAAACATATAGTTACTAATGTCTGATCATATTCATTTTTTGTATAAATATTTACTTAATGAGTCTTTAAAAGTGAACGATTCAAATTATTGAAACAAAACATGTGATGGGCTTTACGAACCCTCAAATTTTCTCATATTGAGATATTAATATGAAGAAAACCTAACTCATAAAGCAATATGACAAAAAAATGTAACACGTGTGCTCTATTGCCGTCCTCAAGGTTTTAATAATATTAATGCTTAAATAACTAATAATAATAATAAGGTAGTAAAACCAATCTAAGTTATTTGATTCATTTGAATTGAAAGAGATGGCAAATTAAATATTAATTTTTAATTGAATAATGCTTGGGACCCCCTTTTGGGGGTCACCCCCTCACCCCCTTTTGCCACGTGACGGGTGGTGATTGGAGGAGCAGGAAAAAAAAGAAAAAGAAAAAGAAATTGTAACCAATGAGAGAGAGAGGGGGTCAAAGGGGGTGGGAAGAAAAGGGGGATGAATCATTGTTGTTTTTAATTTGTCATAATCGATATTTTAAGACTCTATGTTGAGTATTCATGTTATGTGAAGTTGAAAGCGGTTTCTCCAAGATTCAATTCTCTCAATTCTCTTGTTATGTCATTTTGAGTGAACTATAATAATTAAATTGTGAATATGTAACATTTTTCATGTCATACTTATAATTCTCTCGCTTTAAATTTATATAAAAATTAAATATAATCAGGTTCGATTCAATTGAAACTTTCTTGAAATTGACTTAATAAGTTAACAAATTAAACTGAAAACATATTTTCAAATTCAATTGAATTTTCAAATCAAATTTAAATAATTTATTACTTTGCTCATTTGCTATCAACATATTGCACCCCCTCAATCACTCAAACATGGTGCTGTTTGATACAATTTCTAATGCTACTTGTAACTTTCTTCTTTCAAAAATTTATATTAATTAGTTTGATAGTATATCTTATGCTTATAACGAGACAAAAATAACTTAAATAAATTTAAAAAATATTTATTAAGAAGCCAAAAACACAATGTGTTTGCTAGAAATACCTTCTGCTATTTTTATTATCAACTTTCAACTTGTTAGAAGTTACATCAAACAAGCTCACAATGCTACCCAACTATTCAGATCTTGAATTTGTAGGTGAAAAAAAATTATGACCGAGAAGAAAAGACAAAAAGAATGTAAAAATTAATTTAATAGCTTCTACTTCACATTCAGATTTCTTTTTCCCTTCACAAATACAAGTTCCTTCACAAATCAAAGAGTGAAACACCGTAATGTAGATCTGCAAAACAATGTGGTTTTGTTCCAAACACAGAACGGAAAGTTGCTACAAATACAATGAATTGAAAGTTCTGCAAAACATGATACATTTGTGGTTAAGAAGAATAACAATATGAGACCTTTGCAACACTTGAACCTCAATCAACACTGCTGAAACAGCCAAAAAAAAAAAGGGAAATAAGAAAAATATCATCCAGGTGGATAGATCATGAAAAAACAAAAAAAAAAGATTGTTTTTAAGTTATGGTATCACTTGCCCATGTTTATGCAGATCCAAATTCTGAAAACCACTTCTCATGCCGTTCAATATCTGCTGCAGAAACACTAGGTTGAACCTTGGTCACGGCCTCTTCAAAGTCACACATGGCAATTGGGTCGTTCGAAATATCGTCCTTGGACATGTTTTTGATCTCGTCGCGTGTCTTCCCTGCTATTTTACGCCTCATTCCATTTAAAGAGGCATCACGGCAAACATTCGTGAGATCGTCTCCACTGTATCCCTCTGTTCGACGAGCCACTTCATCAATATCTACATCAGGAGCCACCTGGCATAGGTGACATACAACTAGTTAAGAAAATACCCATCAAATCTTAAGCGGGTAAACGCTATATTCTACATGTAGTTGATCTTATGCTTTACTAAAAAACATGGGGTAGTTGAAAATTTTAGAAATGAATAAATGTATAATCACTGGAAACTACTATAAGTTCTCAAGAAAATAGTGGTAGAAACAGAGGGGAACAGTAAGAGCATAAGCAAGAAAGCCAACTTGACGCTAAAGGAAATGAGATTTCAACATTCCTGACATCAAGTAGTGATCATTCGCCCGTGGGAAGAAAAATATTTGAAAATATGCAAAAAAGTACTTGAAAATACATATTAGTGCCTCAGGACTTCCCCTATTTTGACATTTTCTTCACTTAACAACTTCTTACTGAGATGTCGTTAGCATCACCCTTAAATGATTTATACCAATAAAGGGCAGCATTGTTCCCAACAAAGAGGAACTATTTTTCTTTTTTCTTTTTGGTTGCAGGGAAAACAAGCAAGTTGGTAGTTACCTAAAAAAACAGAGTAAAATGAACCAAGGAAATTAACCATTCATTGCCCTTCTGGTGTTGGTGTAAAAACTTGTGAATCACCTGTTAAGTCCTAGTAGAACAGAGTCAACAGAGTACTAAAAGATCTAGAGCCAAAAAATTATTCTCAAGATTTTTCCATACTGCAAGATTTCATCCACATTTGTTCAATTACTATGTGTTTCCTTTTTACTGCAGTATCTAACCACAACTAGAAGCTCTCTTTTTACCTTGTGTTTTTTTTTTCTTTTTATTATGTAGGCAATGATTAGGTTTTAGCTGATCAAAGCAATGAAAAGCTCCCGGGAAGACTTGAACTCAGGTTTTACAACCTCCAGAGACTTTACCAAGGCAGTTCACTACTTTAAATGTCTTTACTGTTTCTGTTTCCTAAATAATGAAACAAATTAAATAGGAAAAATTACAGTAAAAACCCCTCAAGTTTCTAACACTAGTAGAAACATCCCCTAAGCTAATGGACATGACTGAACTTAAATTTTTAACCTCCAAAATTTTTTCATATTGCAATGAGTGGCTCAGTTGTTCATTCACCCATTTTAACCAAGTCAACTCGCTCCCCTTCCCTCTTCTCTCTTACTGTGGGTCTTCTTCCTTCCCTTACCAGCCGATCACCTCCTCTTTTGTCTTTCTCCTTCACTAGCCAAATACCCTCTGTTCTCTCTCATGTCTTGCCACATGTCAATCACCACCACACCATCACCTCTTTAGCTCTAATTCCTCCCCAGACCAGCATCACCCACTTTCAATCTGAAAATCCAGCATAACCACTAATTTAAATTCCTATATGTACATGTATGCATATTATGAATATCATTCACTAATTCCTTTATATGAATAATGTGTACTTATGTCCACACTATATATCTTAAATGAAGTAAACCCCTCTAAACCAAATATATCAATACATAACATATATACACATGTATGTCTTATGGTCGGATTACGATAGTGCTGGGAAAATAGAGTGAAAATGAGGGAAAGGGAGGAAGAAAAGGTACACATGTTTTCAAAACAAATAAAAACAAAGAAAAGAAAAATATTTATAAAAAATAGAGAGAAAATGGGGGACACTGACTACATTACCAAATGCTACCAAAACTAGCCAAGAAAGATTTGCTAGCTAGCATTAAATGTTCAAAACAGCATTGAAATTGTTTTTCAATATAAAAATGTATGTCATGTAGGTGCAAATAAATATATTTATGATCTCTCCTTCAATTGTGTAATGAGTATATAAACTCTCTATTCCAACAAATAATAGAGACATAAGTGAGAGATTAAAACTACCACAATACAAACAGTAAAAGAGTACATGAAAGGCCTGAATCAATATGTTGATAAGTGATGGCAAGGCAATCTATTTGAATGGAAATCTTAGGATTTTGGCTTGTTCGTAGTTGTCTCTAGTTGTGGTCTCGTTCCTCACTTCTTTTTTCTCTTTTTTTTTTTTTTTATAATCCAAGGTATCTCCACCCAGACTAGCCCATTTGGGCCCAAGTTAGCTCGTATCTAGACAACCGAAAACTAATTCCTAGAGGCCCTAAAGTTAACAACTGGGCAAACCTTCTGTGACTGCTTGGGAGACTTGAACTCGAGACCTTGGTTCTTATCCTCACTATCTCCCTTGAGATTAAGTTCACATTATTTGACTTCATAAAAGAACGGAAAAAGAGAGAACAAAAAAAATTTGTTCCACAAGTCACTTAGCAACTACCTGAAGTTGCATGATTGTTTGGTCTTTTGGGATGTTACCCTTTGTAGAGAGCTTAATGATTGAGCTATGACTGAGTTGTCGAATCATTTTGGGTAACCTTTATTTAACCCACATTGGTGAAGTTGCATGATGGTTTGGTTTTTTGGGATGTTACCCTTCGTAGAGAGCTCAATGATTGGGTTATGACAGAGTTGTCAAATCATTCTGGGTATCTTTATTTGACCCGTATTGGTGATGGTGGTGATTTAGCTCTATGGTTAAGATACTCCCTATGCATTTAGTGTGAAGTCTTATTATGACAATCTGGTGGGCTTTAGGGGGTCTCCCTTCTCTTGGAAAGAGGTTCGGGGTGCACAATCCCCGTCTAACGTGGCCTTCTTTGTTTGGTGTGATATGCATTGGAAGATTCTCACTATTGATTGCTTGATTAAAAGGGTGGCAACTATATTCAATTAATGTTGCTTGTATAGTCACGATGAGGAATTTGTGAGTCAACTTTTTATCCATTGTGAGGTGGCACAAGAGTTGTGGCCCTTAATCCTTATTAGGTGTTGTGTAGTTGGGGGAGCTTCTTTATTCTTGGAGAGGAGCTCTTGTGGGGTGGTGGTGGAGGAGGAAAGCTGGTATTTGGTCCCATATAGCATTGGCATTGATGAGGATGGTTTGGGATGAAAGGAAAAAGAGGACTTGTGTTGGCAAAGAAGAATCAATTTTAAGATTTAAGGCCCCATTTGTTTCATACCTATTTTTCATTGTTTGGTTGGCCAAAAAATAAGTAAAATGTTTTTCAATATTTAAGTTTTTTTTTTTTGCTCTATTTCGATCAACTCTTCATTAGTTTCAATCCTTGTTTCATTATATTCTTTTCTTTTTTAAGAGTTTTATCTATAATTAGTTCATTATTAAATTTTTTTCCTCTAGAAAACATTTTGCCAACCAAACACACGAAAATTAAAAGAAAAAATATGTTTTTTTTGGTCCAAAATCATTTTACATGAAAAATATTTCACAATGTAAAATGTTTTACATCGAAACAAACAAAGCCTAACAGTAAATAACTATCTTTTTTGCATAGTTGGTTTTTGGAAAGATTAATTTGTCTTTGAACTAATTTATAGATTTTGTACATTCCTTTGAATAGATTTTGATGTATTGATGCTCTTTTTATAAAAATTCACACTTGCCAAAAAAAATTTGTCGACCCATGAGAGCCAAAAGACTTGCGTAATTGCCAATTCTGCCACATGTTCTTACCTTGATTACAAGTCCTTTTTTCTGAGGATGTAAAACAAACTAAGCTACTTGAGCCCAAATTAAACAAGCCAAGCTTGAAAACAGTTTGAAGCTCGATGATTTTCTGAGCTCAGCTCAATAAGCTTTATATGCAACCATAAATCTATATAAAATACTAAGTTAATCGAGATTGGATCAATTGAAGTTATTTTGTGATCAGCACGAAAATAAACAAACCAAATTTGAAAATATTCTTAAAGCTCATTAAATTTTCAAACCAAGCTTGAACAATCCACTAGTCAGCTAGTTACAACCCTACTCACTTTCCAAAACAGTATCAGCCATGAAGAGTAATTTCTGAAACCATCCCACCTTTCTACTGAATTCTTAAGACTACATCAATGCCAGTTTGCATGTCCTAAATCTCCAAATCTCTTATAAGATTACATCAAATGGTGCATTCCTAGTGTTACACGTATCTTCTACATTACTTTAGTTACAAGCTTAGAGGTAAACTGATTTCATGCTTTAAATAATTTAATTTATGCAACAGGTAAACTTATTTTGTGCGTTTCAGTAAATTATTTTTATGCATTAACTGCACTCAAGTGTTTGTTTTAGCCTAAAAGCTAAAAAGTTACTAAAAAAGCCAAAAAGCCTATAACATATACCAAAAAGTCAAAGATTTCATTTTCTCTCTACTTTGTGCACATCTTTTCGTAAAAAATCAAAAAGTCATTCCAAACATACTAGTTTTTTTTACCTCATATTTTAGCCAAAAAACTAAAAAGTTACTAAAATAGTTTGTTCCCAAACGAGGCCTAAGTTTCTAATTTGGTAGTATTTCATATATTAGTATGACAAATAGCCCATAACTCCTATTTTCTTAATTTGTCTCCCCAATCTAGGTTATTTTTATCCAAACAAATTTTTTGATGCATTTTTTTTAGGCAGACATAAATCTATCAATCAGTAATCCCAACTTGAAATTTTGTTGAAAAACGAAAGGAAAACACTCATTTTTTACCATTAATGATGCATAATCCTACAGATATCACCCTGAGAGGGAGTTCAGCATCTCTGTGGTTCATCATGAAATTCACTTCATATAAAAGCAGGAAGAGACAGGATCCTGTGCTTTGTGCCATGCAATCTATTGTATCAACATATGCTTTCAATTGATAAAATAATTAAAATACTTTGAGATATTGCTGTTTTATGTCATGATTCTCATGAATTTAAAAACCTTCTGAATTTACCATCATGACATGTGTTTCCTTGTTCAGCACGGAAGCAAGAGCACCAATAGATCAACGGTGGATATACTTGTCCTATTATCTTTTCAAATTGAAATATTGGAGAGAAAAATAATCTCTATATTTCATTTGGTAAAATTCTAGTTATTCTAAAAGCAAAGAATCTCCTTAGCATTATACGTAAGCACCAGGTCAAGTGGTATGCCATAATCTGCCAGTACTTGTTGACATCAAAGTAAAATTCAAAAAGGCATCAAAACTTCAAGTCTAACAATTATCTACTAGGCTGACAGCAAAACCACTTTACCTCAACAGTTCTCAAATTGATCCGTATAAGTTCCTTACGGCTCTCAAAATTTGGAAGAGGTATATATATTCGCTTTTCCAGCCTCCTCCTGTATGATGTCAACACAAAATCACATCAAGCAGCACAACTTAATAAAGCCAAATAATTAAATCAGGCATTCTGACAGCTCAACAGGAATTTGAATTAGTCAAATCTGGTTGATGAAAGTAAAGTAAACAAAAAGAGACCCAACCTCAGTGCCTCATCTATATCCCATGGAAAATTAGTAGCAGCCAAAACCATCACTATTTTGCTACTACCATCTTCATTGGTGGAAGAATTATTTACACCATCCACCTGAACTAGAAGTTCAGACTTCACCCTTCTTGATGATTCATGCTCTCCTGAAGCCCTGTAAAGCAAGTTTTAAGAGCGGGTTCAACATATAACATATAAGATCTATCGTAAGTGTGAAACAATTAGTTTAGACTTCATGCAAGGATGGAACATTTCTTTTGAATCTCAATGCACAAAGGACCACACTTGTCTTTCTTCTTTTTTTTTCTTTTTTTTTTTTTTGACAAGTGAAACTAATGCCTACATCAAATGACCATATATGCAAAAGCAAAACATATACAATATGCACAAGCACATGCATAAAGCGTAATACTGAGCAGCACAGAGTAGTGCAGGATCAATAACTGTGGAACCCAGTTCACAATGAATAAACACTTACCCTCGGGCATTGCAGAGAGAATCAATCTCATCAATAAATATTGTACTTGGAGCATAAGCTCTTGCAAGCTCAAACAAGCACCGCACCATACGTTCACTCTCACCACGCCATTTCGAAGCCAAAGTGGCAGAAGAAACATTGAAGAATGTTGTACCACACTCAGTAGCGACAGCTTTAGCCAGAAGTGTTTTTCCAGTGCCAGGAGGGCCAAACATAAGAACACCTTTCCATGGTCTCCTAATTCCCTGCATAAGGAAAATTTTATCTAAGTGGACCACATGTATGCATACATATGAACGTGCACACGACTTGTATGTGCAGCAAGAAAAACTACTCTACTCAAGGAGACAGGAAAATGCAGCATCTTAACCAATTTTAAAGTCTACGATAGTACATAGAAGGATTAACAACAGGGTCCCACATTCCCACCATTAAATAAAACTCTAGTAGGTCTTGAGCTAATTTGTATTAGCATCAGTTTGTTTCTAAGAACTTTAATCCTTGAGAGTTTCATAATCTTGAGAGTTCAAATTCTTAAATTAGGATTCTGAAGAAAAGAGTAGAATACCATTCCTCAAATGTGTAGAGGATTTCTAAAACACCACCTTTCACACAGCTACTTCTTTAAAACTCAACCTTATTTTATGAAACAAAAATGCTAGAGATCCCAAATGAATTACCAAATATTGAACACAATACTCGCATGGGTGTGGGACCCACATCGATCTCACACCCATGTGAGTTTTGTGTACAATATTTGGTAATCATCTGGGGTCCCTAACATTGCTCTTCATGAAAACAACTTAATCATTGAGGATAATCTACCTTTATAAGACCAAATGTTTATATTTTTATCACAAAATTCAAGTCTTCTAAATGGCCAAAATGCCCTTAATGTCGACTACAATTTTTCATAAAAAACACTTACAAATTTCAAAATTCATTTACGTAAAGTTCAAGTTTGATGTGGTGCTTATGAAGTAATAGAAATAGATCTTTTTGTTGGAGCATGTATGAAGGTAGAGTCCCACATCGGATAAAGAATAAAATAGATGATTCTTACTATATATTAGATGTGCTCTCCACTTAAAGGCTTAAACTTTTAAGTGGGTATGAATTCCGAATAATGTATGTTGGGCCCTAATTTTAAGCATGTGGACTTTGGAATTTATCCCTGATGAATTGGGCCGATGTTGTTGTGCGCTTGTGGGCACCCTAATTCCCTAACAACTGGTATCAGAGCCGATGGCAGACGATCTATGGGTGGACTCTCCAGGAGAATTCATGTTGGTGGGCTTGGACTTGCACAAAAAAACTCTTGATGGAGCAAGAAAAGTCTATGATAACTCTTGATGAAGCAAAGAAAATTCTTGGTGCACATGACAAGGTTGAACCGCAACAAGGTGGCTCTCAATGGAGTATGGTGGCTCAAAATAGAGTGTGTAGATGGCCCAAGCTAGACTCGATGTTAGAAAGTTATAGATCAAGATTAAAGGGGAGTGTATAATGATCTACTATGAACTTGCTGATGATAGAACAAGACTTAAGGGGGAGCATGGAGAGGCCCAATGTTTGGCTCACACATGAGAAGGAGATTGTTGGAGCATATGTAAAGGCAGAATCCCACATCGGATAAAGAGAAAAAAAGATGAGTCTTAATTTACATTAGATGGGCTCTCCTCCACTTAAAGGCTCAAGCTTTTAAGTTGATATGAGTTTTAAATAACGTATGTTGAACCCTAATGTTAAGCATGCGGACTCGGGAATTTATCCCTAATGAATTGGGCTGGTATTGCTGTGCGCTTGTGGGCTTTCTAATTCCTTAACACTTTTGAGGGTGTAAGGAGTTCAATTGTTGATTTGAAAGGTACATTACTTATCTCCATGTATTTTTGGCTTAGGGAGACTTTCCTTTTTTCTTTGATCTTTTTTGTTGACTTTTAAGAGAATTGCATACACTAGTAGGTAATATAGAGAAACATAGTTTTATTTTTGCTGTATACATTGTGTTTACAGGCAAGGCTGCAACTTGAGTGGGTTGAAACCAAGTAATCTAACCCAAACCAAAAAAAAATCTAGAGCTTGAGAAACATTTCCTTGACATTGAGTTGGGCTTGGGCAACAGTTGTTCAACCTGAAATAAATTCAATTTGTGCTTGGGTAGAAGCATCGGCTATGACACGGATACGGATACGGATACAATATGGGTATGTCGATACAGCAAATTCTTAAAAAAGTAAGGTACAGGTACATCTGGGGTACATCAAAATTTTTTATAAAATTTATAGCTAACCATCCAACATACAAGTCAAAGTTTCAATATCAAAACTAAAAAGTTAACTTGCCTAAAAAAGCTTTTGATTGTCTAAAATAAGATGCAAAAGAGAGCAAAACCAGGACTCATGGGTGAAGGGTGTTGGAAATAAATTACTTGATATTTTCAAAATTGAAAGAAGAATAATAAAGACTGTCATAAATTCTAGCAGCTGCAAATATATATATATATATATCACATCGCCATACTCACGACGTACCCATGATGTACCCACGACATACTCAAATGTATTTGCCGTACCCGGCATGTATTCGCTGTACCGATACGTGTACCCGCACCCGATAAATATCCAGTACTCGTACGGCACCATTTTTAGAGTACTCATGCTTCATAGGGCATCGGCAACCCAAACTAACTTGAACATGAATATATCATATATATATATATATATTTATATATACACATAATATCACATACATAGTATTGTGTGGCCTTAAGATGAAAATCCAGTCGTTAGATTGTAATTACTAAACAACTACCAGGGTTTTAACTTTTCTAAGTCATTGCATCTCTACCAACCCAACACTAGGAAGAACAAAAACTCATGGCCCTCTTCCTCATTCTCTCTCTCATTACACCCTTGTTTCTCTCTCCACGAGCTGCACCACAAGAACTAACTACAAGCTTTAACTCTATCAGTGTAATGCACAAGCTAGCGCTCAACAGGGTTGATAGATTAAAGCTCAACCCGAAAGAGATGACAACCATTTTGTTGAAGCCAAAGGACTTGGAGAAGTTGGTGACTTCTGGGGTGAGCCAGGCACAACAAGTACTTCTTGTGGATGTGCTTCAGCCATGACCTTCTCCTTTCATGAATCTACTCCCATCTTTCTATACCTCTCTTGCTGTACCGCATGACAGTTGAGAGTGTATATATATAAATACGTGTATATATATTGTGCATCTATATCTTAGTTTCAATTTGTTCTTTCTTTTCTTTTTCTTTTTTTGTTGCTAAATCGATTCTCTCTAACTCTTTCTAACTTTGGACAGAGCATCAATTTTGTTCAATGAGTTGTTTGCCCTTTTTATTTTATTTTTATATCGAAGATGTAAGGACTCAACGACATTGTATAATAGAAAAAACTAGTTTTTTAATTTTTTAATTCTTTTTAATTGATGTTAACTTGGGCAACCCGGGCCTAACATGAGTTTTATTCAGTTGTGCTTGGGCTAGGCTTGGGCAATCTAACTCAGGTTTAAGGTCTGTCTTGGGCCAGGCCTAGACAGAATCTTCTACCCTTTGGGTTCGGCTTGGACAAGACCCTAGCCCAACCAAACCCAACCAAGTTGCAGCCCTAGTACAGGGTTGTGTCTCCTTTTTTGTTGGCTCCCTTTAATGAAATAGTTATCTTTACCTATCAAAAACACATAGAGGTTAAGTTCTGGTAGAATATACATGTAACAATTCTCACTACGTGGTGATTTTGGAAATTGGCAATTCTTGGTCATTGAGATGTGTGTTAGAACTCCTGTGCTTCATGAGAATTGGAGCGCGCCTGTGGAAATGCAATTCCTCATAAACTAGAAAAAAGGATAAACCAGTTTTTCTAATTCCAGGGAATCTAAATTTCTCAGCCTGGATTCCATTTTTAAAAAGAGGTTGCAAATTCAAAACACAAAGTCAAGTTTCTAACCAAACTAAGACACATCAAATACGTCTGCAAAGACACCTAGAGACTTAAACTAGCATACTCCCTCCCACCACAAAGAATTTTTTTCCTTTGAAAATGCCAATTCTAAAGGAGACTGAATTGAGAACTCATACTTTCAAATTTATACTCCCAGAAATAACCCTCCCACTAATGCATAACGATCCAAACTTCTGTGGAATTTTAATGGATACAGTAGTCAGGATCATTTCATGCTAAGATATCAGGAATTTTGCATACATTAGGGACGAGAAATAATGGAAAGCATGAAACTCTTGCAATACAGAGAGGGAAATGAGAAATTATCTAGAGGTATCCTTGTCTCCACCACCCCAAGTATGCAGAAATCTTGATTGATATAATTGAAATTGTGAGAGTTCAAATCAGAATCGTGAAACCATACTACAATCATATTTCAACTTCAAAGCAATCTGGAATACCTGAAAATATTCAGGCATCCATAAAGGAAGAACAACAGCTTCCTCTAGAAGTCTTTTTGCCTCAGTCAATCCTGCTACATCATCCCACCTCACTCCAGGGCTGGAATCCAAGACATCCCTTTCGAGCATTGCAGCCAAGTCAGCGTCAGGACCATCGTACTGCACACGTTTGGACTTCCCATCTTCAGCATCACCATTCTGCATTGCAACAGAAACAGTAATCTGAGCACAGACAACCAGAACCAAAAAAACAAAAAGAAGAATACCTGAATATAGGAATGCAAAACACCAAACATACAGAGATTGTTGCACAAATTATTTTGTGAAGTATAACGTACCGCTGAATCTCCCTTGCCAGATTTCCCTGAGCCAGTCCCTTTCTTCCCAGTGGTAGAAGCTCGGACTCCCGAGTTTGACTTACTAGAACCACCAGCCTTTGCTCCACGACCAGTTGTCCCAGATTTTGTGGAACCACGAGCCCAAGCTCCATCTTGTTGTGACTTCCTCGTACCCATTTGACCTGTTCTTGTGGGTCTTCTACTTGCAGTATCTCTAGTAGGCGGCCTCCATATGTCAGGATCATCCATTGGAGCACCAGATGAAGTTGGGTACTCATCCAACGGTTGAAAAACAAATGAGGATTTAGTAGAAATTGGAGGCGAAGAGGGTCGTCTACCCAAGGGAATCTCCTTGAAAGCCCTTCTCTCCGCATCCAACTGCTTCACAACCTCTGCTTCTTCTGTAAGAGCTTTCTTTGTATTCATCCATTTCGCACGAACCAAAGGGTCATCAAGTGTGTTCAAATGCCTGAAGAAAGAGAAAAAGGAAAAGAAAAAAAAAAGAGCTTTACCCAGTGAACTTGGGTTAAAACAGAAAAACATAAGAATGCACTGTGACATTTGGTTCAAGTTCAACTACACCCAGAAATGCATCAAAGCATAATCAATAAGATAGAATTTGTTGGTCAAATCATAAGTGACAAAATTTTCTTTTAACCTTTCCATGTGTTTTCTCACATTTGTATCAGCATCCAAACAGATCCTTGGATTTAAGGAGGAAATTTAACCCTTCACATTTTTCACACCTGAAATGTGGTTAACATAGGAAATTTTCCTAAACATATAGAGACAAAATTCAAATGGCAATGCCAATGCCAATTTCATTTACATCAAATGAGTACATGAATGCATTAAAACAGTCCAAATTGAAGATCACACAACAAAATCAAACAACTTCACATTGCTCTCCTTCTCAAGGATTTTCAGTACTATACCATCTAGTAACTTGTAATTTCAACATTGATTAGGCAGAGCCTTGAATTAAACGAATTTACTTTTGAGTGTGTACATACATATGTATATATATATATGAGAGAGAGAGAGAGAGAGAGAGAGAGAGTACTTGTTGATCTGAGCAATGGCACCATCGAAGAAGATAATGGAAGTATCGTAGAGGCCTTCAAGGGCGTACTCTCTCGCCAATTTGAGATGATCTTGCAAGCCGCCAAGCGAAGTGGCCGCCATTATAGACACAAATCTAGGGTTTCTTCAGAATCTCACTCTGGCTCTTTTTTCATATATATAGAAAAATCAAACTGAGGGTTTTCAAATGCGTAGGAGTTAATGATGAAGAAGAAGCAGTTCAGAGCTCTCACAAGAAATCTCTTTCTTTCTCTCTCTAACACTGCTCAGAGATTTCTCTCTCTCTCTCTCTCTCTAGACTACTGTAGGCTACTGCCTGCGTGGATCAGTGAAGATGACGGCAACCTAACGGTCGAGAGACGGGAGGGGGAAGAATGTGGTTTTAATATAATATCCTTGGGCTTTCTTTCACGTATTTTTGTAGTACTAAACTAAAAATGCAAGGACCAGTCATTTCAACAGCACAAGATTGGGAGGACAAATTTTTTAAGCTTTTACAAATCATATCTAATGTTATGAATGTGAGTTTGAATCTCTATCTAGATATAAATTTGTGAATTATCACTTCATGATTTAGTGGTTATTCTATGTAGTGTCTGTTTGGTGCAGTTTAAAAGTTACTTATTTCAGCTTTCAGCTTAATTTAAGCTATTTTGATATGTTTAGTTTAGTTTAACAATACAGCTTATAACTTTTTGTAAGTCAGAAATCAGTTTATTCTTTGAGTGGGACAGAAGATGTTTAATTTATAAGTCAGAAATCAGCTTATGTTCATAGTTATAAGTTATAAACTGTTAAGGCATAAACTATAAGCACTTTTTCACAGCTCTACCAAACAGGGTCGTAGTATAACTGTGCGGGGAGCAAATATTCAGGCAAGCCTGCACTCCTTTCTTCCAAGCTCCTGCCTGTCCGATCGACCTGCGAGCACAACGGCGGTGAGCTACCCGGCAGTGTGTGGCCGGAAAACTCCTCCGACGATCAAGTTAGACACACACACAGGGATAGATAGAGAGAGAGAGAGAGAGAACGGAGTTGTGTTTAGTGTTCTTCTCACCAAATTGTGTCATCTCCAGGCATGGGGGGCGCAGACCCGTTTATATACCTTCTGCACCTCAAATCTACTCTCATTCGTCTCTCGACACGTGGTGCTGCTATCCTATCCGTCAACACAAATCTTGTTGTACATTACCTAACCCAACTGCCAGCCCACTCTGCTGGGAGCTCGGCAACCAGGGTACAGCGTCATGGCCGTCGATATCCAGGCTACACTTCATGCCCAAGTGTAGCAATAACCGAGCTCCGTCCCTATCGTACTTGACTGCATTCCGGCGAAGTCGAGCTCCGGGACGGTCACGCCGATCAACCAAAGGCTTTCCTGCCGAGCTTCTGGCACGAGTTTCCCTGCTGAGCCAAAGGCGTATGCCTTCTGGCTGAGCAACGCAAGTTGCACAGTCACCACTGGTGCGAGTAGTTCGGCCACGGGCCAAGCGGCCCCAACTCCGGGAAAGGACTAAGCTATCTCGACCCAACACGCCCTTGGGCCTTCAACATGCTTGGCTTTTATCTCGGGCCAGTTCCCGCTCATAAATCTCCCTCTCAATTGCCCCTTAATTCCGTCCGTGCAAACGTAACTGGGATTATTTATCCTGACTGGGGTAACACTTCTTCGGTCTTCGATTTTGCAAGAAGTCAACCGAGCTAGTTTTCTTGCTCGGCTCCTTGATTCACTCGGTCGACGTCTCGTCTGGCCTTCCTATCTCTTCAACTCTGACGCTGCCAGTAATGGGGGCATGTGTCAATCTCTTATTAGCCCTCGAGCAGCCAACCCAACCGTCCCCTCAAATTTGAATTTGGGCGGCTTCTTCCCCTCTATAAACATGTCCCTTCTCGCTTCCTTTCATTCCTACTGCCTCTCTTCAAGTCTTCGACGTTTCAGAGCTCAAGCACCCCCAGCAAAACTTCGTCCCTGTCATTCCTTGCATTTGTGCTCGAAGAAGTAGGCTCTACCCTCAACTGGTAAGTTCCTTGAACCTCGTTTTTTGCTATTTCAGTCGGCATTTCACATACTAGGGCACTAAAAACATAGGTTTTAGGGCATTAGGCACCCAAAACCGTCCCTAACCCTTCACTCTCCTTGTTGTTCTTCATTTTTCCTGATGAACATTGAAGATCTGGAGCGGACCGGGCTTCAGGTCTTCATTCGATCCAAAAAATCATTAAGACCGAGCAAATGACTAGTTTGCCAAAACCTTTAGCAGAAACTAGGGTAGGCAAGGAGCATGGCCGCTCGACCGGGCTGACATCTGGTCCATTTGAACAGCCGAGCTCCTTGGTACACCTTCAAGACCGAGGTGGTTGGCACTCTTCATGACCGAGCTAAAGTCAAGCTCGTTTTGCGCGACCACGCTCATACTTACCATTGCCATCCTTTTCCTGCAGAGTCCAAAGGGACCACTTGACCAAATATTAAGGCTCTCAAAGACCGAGCAGCCATTAAGACACCAATCTGTGCCATTCCATTTTGTCGAGCTAAACCAGCCGGCTACAAATGGGGCGATTCCGCTTCCTTGTTGACACCTCGGCTGCCCTGGCCGCATTCCGGGAAGATTACGGTATCCCGACAGACGTTCACCTAGAGCTCGCCGATATCGAGACAACCCCTTGGGGCAGATTAAACCAGTGCCCCTTCACCGTTCTTTCCATTATTGAATGAGGCCTCCGCTTCCCGGTCAACCCTCTGCTGACCAAGTTTCTGCGCCGCACCGGGCTTGCACCCACACAAGTATCAACCAACACCTACCGAATAATCAACGGCATTCACGAGTTAAATAACCAGCTAGGGACCAACTTAGGTTTAGCCGAGATACTGCGACAGTACACACTTGGGCACACGGGCGACGGCCTCGCCTATTACTTAAAAATTGGACAGGGTAAAGAAAAGATAGTGACCGGCATTCCAGACAAGGACTTACACGATGACGACTTTTTCTGGGTGTCTGGCAACTATGAAACGGCCGACGTGCCGGGCTGGTTCATCAACAAGAACTTCGGCTCCACATGTAAGTCGTGCAACCTTGCTCGGTCAATTACCTTTGTTCCATTTTCTGTAAATAACTAACACTTCTCTTCTTTTCTTTGCAGCAATCCAGGCCTTACAAGCCAACTACCACTACCCCAACGAGGAAGCCATCAGGGCCGTGCTCCGTTATCGCAACCAGGATTGCAACGAACTGCTCGGCCACACCCCGACATACCGGTACTCTGCTCCACGCCGAAGTAAGGTCACAGACTTCTTCCGCGCTCCATCACCTCCTCCAAACCCAACACTACCGGACGTGCCACTAATTCGATTAATCGAGGAAGAAGAGATGGCAAAACGTAGCCGTATCAAAAACGTCCTCACCGCAACATCTGCCGAGATACCAAGCGTCGTCACCCGCGCTCCAGCTGCCGGTCAATCAAGGGGTGCCGTGGTGGCATTGGAGTCTTCAGCCGCTGGTCAAACCAGCCAAGAAGCCCGCCGGGCTGGGAAAAGGCCTCGCGCAGATCCCTCTGCCGAGCTGGTTGAAGAGCTGACTACCGAGCAACCCACTGTCACCATGGACCCAACGCCGGTATGGCGACCGCAGCTCAAGCACCGGGGTAAGGAGATCCCGGCAATGGCCTCCGTGAAGGGCGACAAAGAACATCTCATTGCCTTCGACCTCTCCAAGGCCCTTCTCTTGCTGAGCAACTGCAACAGCGCCCGCGTGGGCCTCATGCTACGCTACAGTTCGGACTCTCGATTTGTGTCGCGGTTCTTAATCTGAACCAAAGAGTCCAAATCTGGCAAATCGTTTTGAGAAACAGATTTTTGAAAAAGTAGTGCCAAACATGGACTGCTTTGCCAGATACAGAGTCGCCACCTAAATATTTTTTAAAATGGGGAAATTTAGGAAACCCTGACTCGGTGCCGAAGGCCACATGTCCGTCATCACCGGAGTTGTCTCGGCTCGGGAGCTTGGGTACGATCGGGGAAGGTCAGCTATGAGCACCCCCTCTCGCCCGGTCCGAAGACCGGCCTCTACTAACCATGAACAAAATCTTTTGTATAAGGTATAATGCAAGCTTAATCAGATGGGAAATAAGAACTCTATAAGGTTATGTTTAGCCTTAATTATTATCTGATGGTATGAAATGACAAGTTCCCTGAAATGCTATGTTTGGTATAAATGAATGATTGTCTAAATTCTCCTTGAACGTAATTGTGGTATCCTTGGCG